TGGTCCCTGGGCTTTGCTAAGCTTGTTCTAAGTAGGTGCTTTAGACCACTGAGCCATCTCACCAGCCCATAGAGGTGGATAATTCTTGTTGTGGGGCACTGTCCTTGTTAGAAGGCATAAGATCCTGCCCACTAGATACCAGGGGCACCCACATCCCAATTGTGACCACAAAAGTGTCTTCACCCATGCAGGTACCCCCATGTGAGAGCCGCTGGCGCAGCCAAGGGCACCTTCTAGTCTAGTAGGCTCGGGAGCCCTGAGCAGATCTCCTTGTGGTTCCTCCAGGCAGGAAAGACTCCCACGGACCTGGTGCAGCTGTGGCAGGCTGACACTCGGCATGCCCTGGAGCACCCTGAGCCAGGGACAGAGCAGAACGGGCTAGAGGGGGCTGAGAGTGGACGTGAGACCCCCCAGCAAGTTCCAGCCCAGTAAATGCCCGCATCAGCCCAGTGGACGCCCAGCCCCTCCTGTGTGCAACAGGGAGGATCCTAGAGTGACCCCCCCAGAGCCGAGAACCAGCCAACCCACCGTACAATCCAGCAGCACCCGAAAGCTAGCACAATAAAAACTGTTTTTGCTATTTGTGGTGTTAGTTTCCCTTTTTGTTTGAAGTTTTATAGGTGGGCGGGCGAGATAGCTCAGCAGTTTAAAGCGGCTGCTTAGGCAACTTCGGCAGGTGCAGGGGAGCATGGTTCGATCCCCAGCACCACAGGCCATGCCAGCCCCACCTGAGGGTGGGCTAAGCCAGCCAGCCAAATAAATAAATAAATAAATAAATAAATAAATAAATAAATAGATAAATAAAAAGAAATTTTATAGAATGAAGACTGGGCCAAAGGTGGGTCTGGGGACAAAGGCAACTTGCAGCCCTGCTGCTTCCTCCGCGGTGGTCTTGTTTCTTCCCTGCACCCCATTTTTCCGCACCTTCCCAAGCCCTGCGTCCCAGGTATGGTGGCTGCACATGTCAGGCTGGTGAAATCCTCACCTCACCACCACCCCGGAGCTTCTGTCCTGGAGAACTGTGTGTGGCCAGCACAGGCTTCCCACCTCCCCACCTCGGCAGGAGGAGCCTGGCACGGAAGTAAGGCAGCCACCTGTGACCAGCGGCCGCGCCCTGCCCCTCCCCTAGGACCTCCTCCCTGCAGAGCCGGGTCAGGCCAGCTCAGCCAATGAGCTCTGCCAGCCTCCAGCCAGCCTGGAAACTGATTGGGGCCCTGGCTTTGTGGCTGGGACTCGTGGAAGGAGGGCCCAGGCCCGACTGGAGAGGCCTTTCAGTGTTGGCACCCAGAAACCAGCCCTGGATCTAGCCAGAGACCCTGGATTGTGGCATTTCTTTAGCTGCTCCCCCGAGGGAAAAAGGGCTCCTTGCTACCTGCAGGTCTAGCTTCTGACCTTAGGAGTGCCCGGCTTGGGCCTCCCCAGGGCTTGCAAGTCTGGGGGGCTGCAAATTTTTAACTAGATGTGTTGATCATTAACAGGAGAGAAAAAGGAGTTCAAACTCAGCCTCACTTGGGGACATAGGCCAGCGAGGCTCCAGGCTGCCTGAGAGATGCTGGGTCCCAGAGTATGGGCCACTGTGAGGCAGGGGCTGAGCAGGGGCTTGTCTAGGAATGTGAGGGGCTGGGCCTCAGGGCAGGGGAAGAAGGTGGACATCGCAGGCATCTACCCTCCTGTGACCACCCCCTTCACTGCCAACGCAGAGGTGGACTATGGGAAGTTGGAGGAGAACCTGCACAAACTGGGTACCTTGCCCTTCCGAGGTAAGCAGGCCTGTTCCCTGTGGGAGGGAAATCAGAGGCCAGGGAAGGCCCGCAGGTGTGAGCACCTCAGACCAAACCCTCCTGCCTCCATTTCCCCGGCTGTAAAGGGCTAAGGTGACTTCTGAGGTCCCAGAGTTGCTGTGTAGGACCGTGCTGGCGAATGGCTATGGCATCATGGGAAGCAGGCCCTCCTCATGCTGCTGTGACCGCATCAGAGGAGATCACATGTGGCATGCAGCTAGCGTCAGCCTCCTCAGCCTTCAAGCCTCCCTTGCATGTTCTCATCTGGGCAAGCTTTCCTTGGCAGGATTGCTTCTTTTTGTGTGGAACCGGCGATTGAACTCAGGCCCTTGCGCTTGCCAGGCAAGCGCTTATTCTACTATCTCCCCAGCCCCCAGAATTACTTCTTGGTTTTTGTTTTTTGGTTTGTTTGTTTTGCGGGACTGGGGCTTGAACTTAGGACCCTGCACTTGTCAGGCAAGCGCTTATTCTACTGAGCTATCTCCCCGGCCCCAGAATTACTTCTTGTACTGGCTCCTCGGACTTATCTCCTCTATACGTGGATCTCCCCCTTGCTGAGGCCAAGGACTCCAACGTGCCACACAGCCACCGATGCCACACAGGAAGGTGGAAGGAAATGGCAGTCCAAGGCAGTCCAGTACCACCTCATGGAGAGGAGCCTGGGACTTAGAAGCACAGCCACTGCCCAAGACCACTGAGCCCCCTCATGGCTGCCTGAGGTCTGAGCTGGCTCTGATGGTGCAGCTCACATTGCTTTTTTCTGCTCGCTGCCTCTATCACCCTGCTCTGAGTCACCAGACCCAACTACCTCAACAAAGACTGTGGGCCCCAGCTTTGGGAGTGGCGTGGCATAAGTTGGGTGGTACAGGGTAGCACTTAAGACAGTGGGCTTGGTTTCCAATCACAGCTCTGCCACTGACTGGTAGTGGGATAATCTCTCTAAACCTGCATCTCCTCACCTGACACATGGGACTAGTAATGGCTATGCTGTGAAATGGCTGGGGGAAAAAGCGGAGGATGGAAGTGAGAGCACACTGGGATAGAGGGTGTTCTACAGCAGAAGGTATTGATTCTATGTATGAGGTGATGGTGTTAACATGGCAGCATGACTGGTAATGTGGCATAGCTGCCTCGTGACAGTGACCAGTGGTGCAACTGCGCCTCTCGTCACAGCTCAGCATAGAAATGACATGACCCTTCCCGAGTCCCTGTGAACACTCAACAGTGAGCAGGGAAACCACCTTGAGGTACATGTGTGCCTTGGATTGCTCACAGAGGTCGGAAGCTTAGGTGAGGCAACGCAGAAGGCCCTGAGCCTCTGGCAGAGTCTCTGATTCAGTTTCAAGCTTCCAGGACGCTCTAGATCCAGAGCTGGGAGGGAGGATGTTGTATCTGGTGTCTGCCTGCCACCCAGAGACTTGTGGGAAACCCTCACTCTTCTCTAGCTCCTCTCCTTTCCATCCTGCGGATCCGTTCTGGGCGGGCTCCGGAGTGCAGGCCTTGGGGGATTGGGCATATGGTCTCCCGCCTCGTCTGAGCCCTCTCTCAGTGCACATCAAGGAAGCAGGGCTGTGGAACAGAGAGCCCAGCCCCTGCAGGTGGAGGATCTGGGTAAGCCTCCTGGCTGGCCTTTAGAGCAACTTGAGAGATTATAGAACCTGCCTAGTGCGGTTTCCTCATCCTAGAGTGGCAAGCGGGCCTGTTGGCTCCTAGCCACAGACAGCACAGAGCCAAGACTTCTGTGGACTCAACCAAGCTGTGTCCGCGCTAAGAGCTCTTTCTCTTATGACCTCTACTTGGGCAGAGGTGCAGCCATCACATTTTGTGTTGAGAAGTATCTGCAACAAGATGCCCTAGAAAGAAAGGAGGAGAAGAACTAAAAAGAATTAAGATGTGTTATGCATTTGTGTCAACCCCCACAAGGGATGTAATTGTTCAGTACTGCAAGCATATACAATTGAAGTAAAAATGGAAAGAAAAAAAAAAACCTGTGAAGAAGAAGTGCGAGGGGGGCCAGGGAGATAGCTCAGTAGGATAAGCTCTTGCCTGGCAAGCGCAAGATCCTGAGTTCAATCCCCGTTACTGTAAAAAAATAAATAAATAAATAAATAAATAAAAAAGAGGAAGTGGGAGCCTAGGTAAGTGGATACAAAGCCTCCTGAAAGGCCCTGCCTGAAACTGTGTAGCCATTTTTAAAAAATGTTTAAATCATTGCTAATGTATACTGATTATTTGAATGAAAGTTATAACCTGAAATTGAGCACACACCTTAATCCCACCACTAGTGAGGCTGAAGCAGGAGGATTGTGTGTTTGAGCACCGAGGGCTGCGCAGTGAGCTCAAGGCCACCCTGGATGATATAGTGGGGACACTGGCTCGAAAAACAACACAAGCTTCCAACTAGAGACTGAAGGGAGGGTTCTCCAGAGGACCATATGGCCCTGAGCTCACCCGTAAGTGACCTCGAAGGTGGACTTTGAGTTGTTATTTTCAACCAAAGTTAGTGGACAACCACAGAGTTAATCAAGCAAGACAGGGGAGATGTCGCCTATAAAAATTTAAGCTAGTGACTTTCTTTTTTTTCTTTTTTTTTTTAAACATTTATTTATTTAGTGTGTGTGTGTGTGTGTGTGTGTGTGTGTGTGTGGCCAGCTCAGCCCACCAGAGGGCGGGGCTGGATGGCATGTGGTGCTGGGGGATTGAACCTCGGTCCCTGTGCTTTGCCAAGCCTGTTCCAAGTAGGTGCCTTAAACCACAGAGCCATCTCGCCAGCCCCTAAGCTAGTGACTTTCTATGAAGAGTAGACTGTCATTTCTTGTGAAATATATATTTTTTAAAAATTTTATTTATTTATTTGTGTGTGTTTGTGTGTGTGTGTGTGGCCAGCTCAGTCCACCAGGGGGTGGGCTGGCTGGCATGTGGTGCTGGGGGATTGAACCGTGGTCCCTGGGCTTTGCTAAGCTTGTTCTAAGTAGGTGCTTTAGACCACTGAGCCATCTCACCAGCCCCGTGAAATATATTTTTGTATATGCTGGTATTAAAAATCATTAGGGTTAGAGATGTTTTGTTTAAAACGTCACAACTTTAAAAGCCAATTTTGGCATTTATTTATTTATTTATTTATTTGAGACAGTGTTTCACTGTGCAGTCCAGGCTGGCCTTGAACACGCAGTGATTTTCCTACCTCAGCCTCCCAAGTGCTAAGATGACAGGTGTGCACTACCACACTTGGCTTTATTTTCAAAATGTATTAGATGACTTCAAGGAAAAATGAGGGTAGCCCAGGCATATTTTTTTCTCTGAGATGCAGGGAAATTACTCAGGATGATGCCAGCCTCAGCGAAAGTGGCCAAGTGTCCTACCTGCTAACACCCTGCACTGTGCTCATGGTGCATTTTGGGTGGCAGGAGCATCTCTAAGGCAAGGGGCAGCAGGTGCCGCTCTCCATGGCACTGGGGACTGGGGACCCAGTGAAGTCTTATGTCCTATCTGCTCTGTCTTCGCAGTCCGCACCTTCTCTCTTCACATGTGACCCCATGTTATTCTAGAATGAGCTCCTTTCTGAGCCCTTTTCCTTCCGGGTTGTGTCCTGTAATGGGGCTGGAAGCTGCATGTGGGGATGGAACATGCTGAGCTAGAAGCAGAGATGCTCCGGGAGGGAAAAGGACACTAGTCTCGGGAGGCCAAGAATGGATGTCGCCCCAGCCCGGGCCAGCCTAACTGCATCCTCTGCCCTTGGGGAGGAAGAAACACCAAAGACTGGAAGATAAGGACTGAGTAGGAAAAGCCAAAGGGAATTCAGAAATGGAAACTGTCCTTCCACTGACCTTGAGGGCTGAAAGGGAGTCAGGGCCCAGGCCTGAGGTACTGAATGCGGGCTAGGCTAGAGGGCTAGGCAGCTCCCCTCCCCCGACCCCAACTGTCTTCCTCACAATGAGGCTCTTTGCTGAGGCAACAGTGGTAGCCGAGGGAGGGGTGCCCGCGGCCTGGTGTCAGGCACTCTCTCAGAGAGCCTGCCCTTTCAAGCATGAGCCATACCACCTGGCTCCCTGACTCAGTGTGCTCCTAGCTCGGCCCGCCTGGCGTGGGGTCCTGGAGGCCTTCTTGGAGTTCATCCAGCAACCATCATGCAGGGTGGTGCTGGGGACCATCCTCTTGCTGGGAGGCGGTGGCCTCTTGCTGTGGGCTCAGAGGAAGAGGACGAGTAAGCTTGCGCCTGCGTCCGCACAAGGTGAGTCAGCAGAATCGCACAACGCAGAGGAGAGCTGGATCAAATCTCACTTTAGCTGCCTGTCAAAGGAGAAACTGGCTCTGGACAACCATGCCAGCACCAGCAACAATGCCATCCAGCCTGAGAGCGGGGGTGGGAAGGCCAGCACCACCATCCGCGTGGAGACTGTCACCTCCAGGCACGGGGAAGGGGCCACACGTCTGCACCGGGAATCTGTCACCAGCAGGCAGAAGATGTCTGGGTCCAGCGTGACCAAGGAGACCCACAAGGAGTCAGGAAAGCCCTCGTCCATGGATGAGGCCACGTGGGCTGGCGTGGCTGCCTGCGTCAAGGAGATTGACATCCAGGGGCAGCGTGTGGCTGATTCCATGCTGCAGCGAGCCACGGCTTACCAGCACTCAGGCCACCTGGACTCCAGGGACATCAATCCGGAGGAGCTGAAGGCCCTGGAAGAGGTGGAGATGAAGCTGAAAAGGAGTTTCCTCACCCAGCGAGAAACCACCACGGCTGGCGCCAACCACACACGTACTTTCTATGGTCACCAGAGTCATCCAGGCCACCCGAGCCACCAGAATCATGCTGGCCACCCAAGCCACCAGAGTCAGATGGGCCATCAGAGCCACCAGAGCCAGACTGGTCACCAGAGCCACCAGAATCACACAGGGCACCAGAGCCACCAGAGCCATAGCCTGCCCAACCGCAGCCACCAGATGTGTAATTCTTGAAGCTGCCAAAGCATACATCCCTTCCCCCAGCAAGGCTGCCCCCACCCCCACAGGCCTGGTTTTCTTCTACGGGGAAACTTATGTGGCCCAGGGTAAGATGCTGTCACCAAGATCCTTCCTCAGCCCCTTCACCAGGGGTCTTGAATAGGCTCTTCCATAGAGGATGGACCCTGCTGGAGGAAGAGCTGGAGGGAAGGAAGGCAGCTGTGACAGATGCTGAGGCCCCTAGGACCCACCGAGAGGACACAGATGAGGCAGACCCCAGGAGTGGCCAAGAGCCCTACTGATGCCAAACGCCTGGACGGAGCCAATAAAGCCTTGCACTCCCTCACTCTGAGTCCAGGAGCTCTGTGGCCAGCCTGGGTCTGGGAGGGGTGAAGGGAGATGGCTCCTTCTCTAGCAGTTGGGCCTCATCTGGGCCTCGCCTTGGCCTTGCTTTGGGCCTTTTCTTAGGCCTGATTTTGAGACTCCATGAAAGAGGTCCTCCGATCCACCCTTGCTCATCTCCTACCCCACTTCCAGTCTCAGATGCTAGGAGGGATAGCTCTAGGGGCCTCTAACCCACCCACCTGTTCTTGCCAGGGGAGCAGGAAGTAGCCAGGTATCAGGGGAGAGAGCGGGTTTTCAGAGAAGAGTAAGGAAGTCAGGTGGTGCCATCTCAAATCTGGGTGTCCCATGCTGTATCTCCTTTCCCCACCTGCCTCCAGGGACCCCTAGGGATCCATGTTAGAACCTCCCTACAATCTGCATCCACAGCTGTTAAGCTTGTTTGAGTCATTCCTGCTTAAGCTGTGACTATGCCTACGGTTGCTGCTATGTGTTACTTGTATTATTGGAAGTTTCCTTTTTTTTTTTTTTTTTTAGGGCTTTTTAAAAAATGATGCAGGGCCAGAGAGATGGCTCAGTGGAATAAGCGCTTCCCTGGCAAGCACAAGGGCCTGAGTTCAATCCCCGGTTCTGCAAAAAAAAAAAAAAAAAATAAAAAAGGATGCACCCTAAAAAAAAATTAAATATATACCCTGCCCTGTGTCAAGTGTCAAGTCGTAGCTCTATGATGAAAGCCTTAGGTTATATCCATTTCACAAATGAAGCTGCTGTGGTCAGAGACACACTTTGCCCAACATAATAAGAGATATTGCTGGGATCTGTTCCCAGCGTTCCCGGACTCCAGAGCCCATGGAGTCCCTGAGTCCTTCCCAAGGCTGCCTCCCACGCTTCCTCCCGCAATCCACTTGGCTCCCCCTCCTGTGTTTTTTTTTTTTTTTTTTCCAGAACCAGGGATTGAACTCAGGCCCTTGCGCTTGCCAGGGAAGCGCTTATTCCACTGAGCCTTCTCCCCGGACCCCCATGTTTATCTTTGACCTCCTCGCACATGACAATTCCTCTGTCTAGGATTCTTCACTGTCTCCTTTTCCTGGGTCCCAAGAAGGTATTTTGTCGGGGGGTGGGGGCAAGTAATAACCTGTCCCCAGACTGCCACCTGCCTTATGAATTTCTAGAAGATGTCTACTACAAGGCACTAACTCAAAGTGACTCTTTGAGACATCTCTTACCATTCGTATCTATCATGGATTTGCTGGTGACTTCCAGTGTATGTCCTTCAAGCCCCTGTTCCCCTCAAAGGACAGAGAAACTGGGATGGGGAATAGAGAAATGAAGGAAGGGAAAAGATATATATATATGTAATTATACTACTAATTTCTCTTTGTTCATTGAAAAGAAAGGCTTGTGCTTGTTCTAATATTATTTGGACAATTAAATGCCGATATCTTGTACTCCAACTAATTTAACGATAATACACAGTGTATTGACCATTGTTACCCTCCTATTATCTTGTTTGGAAATTTTATTTCTTTTTTTTTTTTTAATTTTTTATTTATTTGAGAGAGAGAGAGAGAGTGTG